GTGCTGTCCCTAACAATCCTAACAACGAGGCCTCCACATTTGTTTTGTCTGCACACAAGGTTCCAGCACTGCTGCTTGTTTCTGCTGTGCATTCTCCCTAATCATGAATACCATGTGTTGTCAACAGCTGGGTAGGCAGTGTGACAGTCACATGGTTGTCATATTGCACATGAATTTGGGATGTAATATAGCTGCCCCCATCCCCCAAAAAGGCCTTGAAGTTTCAGGCCGTATATGTACAAGCATCAGACCTTGAAGCAAGGCAGGAATACTTCTTTCTATACGGGCCTAGAGTGATCACACCTAGAATTGTGTTCATTTTTCAGCACTACAGTGACGGAAATATATTTAAAAATTAGAGGGAGTAAAGAAAAAAAAACAAAACTATCAAGGATCTTGAGGGCTTGATTCATAAGGAAAATATAACAGAGATAAAAACTTACAGCTTGGTTGAGCAATGACTAATGGGGGACATGATAACAGTCTACAATTATGTACACATTCTCAAATGAGAATGATCTCTTTCTGCCAATCATGGTAATTCTAACAGAGTACCCCAGCTAATGCTAAGCTGCCACTGTGAGAGAGTCTGTCTCTCAAACACTTGTGTCCCGGGCTATATAGAGCTTTAAAGATCATACCCAACACCCAGAACTGCAGCCACAAATGAACAGATACCCAGTACAGATCACAAAACATTACTGTGATATGCCAATAGCTAACCCATTCAGTTCAAGAAGAAACCCACTGTACTCTACACCTACTACCTTCTGGAGGCAGATTCAGACCCACAGGAAGCATGGAAGCTACAGTGCAACTCCATGGTATAGGAATATATGGGCCAGACAGGGTCCCCCCAGTGACCATCCCATGGACATAGAGAAGCACTTCTCTATGGCTCTGGCACTAACACTCAAGGCACCACATGGGAAAAGGATTCTGGGAGATACATATACTGCAGAGCAACAGCCTTCACTCATGTATCTGGCTGCCTCCAGGTATCTCCATGATGTTAGCAGCACCAGAGTATGTGTAACTGCATATTTGTGCAGGAGAGAAGTTTCTGGAGGAGACGCTAGGACTTGTTGTGTGGAGGGAGAAAGAACATTTATTGGCCTTAAAGTAACTGTGGTTCAGGATGTGTTGTCCCCATGTATTCCACTTCTGGTGTGCACGTGCCTCATGCACTCAAGACAAGACTCTTTTGGCCAGCACTGTCTGCTGAGGCTGTGTCTGTACCTATGCCTGTCCAGCCCATCTTGCTCAAGGGTATCAAGGGTGGACTGGCCCAAACCATCCCTCAGCTCCTTCACCAGTACAGAATGCAGCTGTTGTAGGAGTCCATAGAAGTGGAGGAGGGCAGGTCATGGAAAACATGTGGACAACATATCCTGAGGAACTACAGTTAGTGTATGCAAAGTAACTGTTCTTTCTTCTTTCATATTTGCAGTATTGTTGTAGCAGTGCTGGTCCCAGGATATTAGAGAGACAAGGTGGGTGAATCATTGTCTTTTATTGGACCAACTTCTGGTTATGAAAAAGACATACTTCTTCAGGAACTGAAGAAGAGCGCTGGATAAGCTTGGAAAGTTGTCTCTTTCAACAACAGAAGTTGGCCCAATGAAAGATACTGCCTCACCCACCTTACTCTTTTGAGTAATTATCCACAAGCCGTGACCTCATAGATAGGAGGTTGGTGCTCAGAAACTACCTAAATAAAGATTGAAGGATAGCTCTGCCAAAGTGGGCATCAGATTTTGAGGCCTCAAATAGGGAATAGTCAGGGACTAGACTATCATTTCTCATCACATGGGGAGAAATGATGTGAAGGTTAAATGAATAGTTCTGAGCTCTAGCACATTTATGTGAAAGTGAGTTTCTTCAGGAGTCTAGTGGGTTTGGGTCTGAATGTGGTCCAGGTGAGCTCCCCAGCCAAGTGTGGGAGCATCCATCACCAGTTTCTTGGTAGGTAGAGGTGAAGAAAATGGTACTCCTTTGCATACCCAGAGAAGATCCTTCCACTAAGTTAATAATGAGAGAGGATTTCTTGGCAGACCTGCACCCTCATGTCAATGTAATGTCTGTTGAGTAGATATAACAATTTCCCAATTTAACAATCCCTGCATGCAGAACAGGTAAAGGCGAGCATGCTGTGTTACATATATGCAGGAGCCATATGTCCAAGAAGTCTGAAACAGACTTTTCTCCAGTGTTTGAGGGTAAGCTGGCAGCTGGCTGAGATCTACTATGGTGTTGAATCCATCCTGCGGCAGATAAGCCTTTGCTATTGTGGAATCTACTGCTGTGTGAACTCTGTTCTCTGAGTTGAGAATAAAAATAATTTCCCACTGTTGATTCCGAAGCCTAATGTGATGAAAAGTTGCAAGATATGATGGATGGAGTCATTTACCTGCTTTGCTGATC